CAACATTTCTTCCATGTTTTAATTTTAATAGTAAATCCCCTTTGTTTGCCAAAAAGTTTAATTTTCAATCATTTAAAGATAAATTATATTAATGTTTTATGCCTTCATTTGATAACCAGATACACAACACAGAATTTCAGAGGAAAAAGAAAACATTTCATAAGGCTATTTTAAGAATAAATAACAATAAAACATTAGGTGAGAGAAAATAAAACATAACTTTATAATGGTCATTTTCTTTAATCATAGCTATAATTATTATAACACCTAACATATGTTGCATGTAAAAAGTGTGTTTCAGCCACTTGAAGGGTGGGTACATTGTGTGCACATGATCAGGATGGTACCACCTCCGCCGCATTTTGAGAAAGGAAAAACCCTGTTTGCAGGACTATACATTATTTGAATTAGTCAAAAACAACAACAACAACAACAACAACAACAGTTATGTCTGATTATGTTGCATAGAACTGAATAAAAATAATACATTGATATTTAGTATTAATATATTTTCTGTCCAATTTTCTTTCAATAAAATTTGTATTGGCTTGTGTTTTTTAAATTCCATGTCATTAAAATTGAGTTAAATTAAAAAGTCTTAAAAAATTACTTTATATTATTTAATAAAATAAATAATTATTACAAAGCATTTTCGGTTTCGGTTTTCGACCAAGCACATCCAGACTTCTCGGTTTCGGCCCAGAATTTTAATTTCGGTGCATCCCTACCATTACTGTAACTACATACAGAGCACTGTGTTTGCAACCACATACTCCTTTAAAGGATTACACACAGACACCCCAGTATGCAGAGAGACATTTAAGAGGGTTTATTCTCCAAATAACTAAATTAGCATAAACCCTTCGCGCGGTATACAAACGAACATGGAACAATACATTTATTAATCTGTGTTAATGTTAGTTAATAAAAAGACAATCGTTCAGTGTTTGTTCATGTTTTTGTTGCCGTTACGTGGCGTAGCGGTGTCTGACATGGGCTGATGACGTCATCGTTTCAGAAAATATACAGATTCGCTGTCCACACGAAAACGCAAGGGCGGCGTTTTCAGATTTATCCACTCTCTGCGTCCACACGAAACCACAAAACCGATACAAAACGATGTAGTATACATGCCAGACCAGTATGTGGCGCTGTAATTCTGCCACAGAGATACACTAAAAATGGAGAAGAAGACTTGGACTATGAGCATAAACCCTTCGCGCGGTATACAAACGAACATGGAACAATACATTTATTAATCTGTGTTAATGTTAGTTAATAAAAAGACAATCGTTCAGTGTTTGTTCATGTTTTTGTTGCCGTTACGTGGCGTAGCGGTGTCTGACATGGGCTGATGACGTCATCGTTTCAGAAAATATACAGATTCGCTGTCCACACGAAAACGCAAGGGCGGCGTTTTCAGATTGATCCACTCTGGGACCCGGTTTAAAAAAATATCGGTTTCACTCTCCCAAAACGCCGGATCCGTGTGGACGAAACGCCTATACGATACAAAATGTATGCGTATACAGCTAAACACATCTCCATGTAGACGGGGCCTTAGTTTTTGGTTGTACTATGTTTACCTTTTTTAAAGTAATTTGAAATTGATTTTTATATTTTTATATATTTGTATTTGCATTTTGAATGTAATATGGCAATTCAATGCACTAAATGGGTTTAGTTTTGTGTTCATTGTGTTCAATAATGTTCATTTTTCTAAAAAGGAAACAAATTACTTGTTCATTTTAAGAGACCTGTCTTATTTTCTCTTGTATATTTAGTATTGCTCTTTAATAAAGAAAAAGTTCTTATCCGATGACTCGATTAATCGATGGAATTTTCGGTAGAATACTCGATTACTAAAAATATTCGATAGATTCAGTCCTATTTGGCAACAAAAATCAGTATCATGTACAGGGTCGGATTTACCTCATATTGTGACATTGTCACGCTACGCTGCTGCGGGAAGAACGTAGGAGACACGGAGTAGCATTCACAGTCTTTAATGACGAAAACACGGGATAATCCACAATAGTAGCTGGGCAAACACACGTAGAAACAAGTAGAAATGACAAATACAAACTGAACAGACTGGGGCTTATAAAGACCGGATAATGAGGGACAGACAGGTGTGGGGAATCAATTCATAATCAAACTAAACAAGGACAGGAACAAGACCAAATAAGGCAAAACAGGAACTGAAACACATGACAAAACAGTACCAATCCTGACAGACATAGGCAAAATAAATTTTTGGTGTCAGCCGGAAACCTCCTATTGGCAGTTGGTGTTGTGGCTTTATTGTAGCCTATACAGATACATTTATATAAATGGTAACACTACACAATAAGGTTCATTAGTTAACTAGTGTAGTTAACATGAACTAAGAATGAACAATACTTCTGCAGCATTTATTAATGTTAATTTCAACATTTACTAATGCATTATTAAAATCAAAAGTTGTGTTTGTTAACATTAGTTAATGCACTGTGAACTAACAAACTACAAATGCGACTGTATTGTCATTAACTAACATTAACAAAGTTGAATAAATACTGTAATACATGTATTGTTCATTGTATGCTCATGTTAGTTAATACATTAGCTAA